TTGGCACACATGCACTACTCTTGTGGGGGAAGCTGGAGGTCCTAACAACGTCATGACATGCTCAATTATCTATTAATCTAGCTATGTTAGGATCTTTAACCATTGTTGTAGCTCACCATATGTATTTGATGTCTCCTTATCCATATCTAGCTACCGATTATGGTACACAACTTTCATTGTTCACACATCACATGTGGATTGGTGGATTTCTCATAGTTGGTGCTGCTGCGCATGCAGCCATTTTTATGGTAAGAGACTATGATCCAACTACTCGATACAACGATCTATTAGATCGTGTCCTTAGGCATCGCGATGCAATCATATCACATCTTAACTGGGTATGTATATTTTTTAGGCTTTCACAGTTTTTGGTTTGTATATTCATAATGATACTATGAGCGCTTTAGGGCGCCCGCAAGATATGTTTTCAGATACCGCTATACAATTACAACCCGTCTTTGCTCAATGGATACAAAACACCCATGCTTTAGCACCCAACGCAACGGCCCCTGGTGCAACAACAGGCTGCATCTGATGATTTAGAGACGCGCAGGCGAGGACTTTGGTGGAAGCCTACATTGTCCGTAGTGTCGAGCATACTTGCGTGCTAGAAAAAGAAAGAGAAGAAGAACAACAAGAACAAGAAGCTGCATCGCTTGCGAATAAAGTCTCAAAGGGAAAACATGATATTGCGAATAAAGTTTCAAAGTTTCAAAGGGAGCAAAAAGAAGACTAGTCAGAGTCTTGAAACTGAAAGAGGAGATTTTCTGCTTTATATTGCTGAGTTGGATGTATTTTAGCCTACCTATAGGCTTCTTCGATGATATAGAAGGAAGTTTATGTACCAAAATCTCCATCTAAATTTGAAAGTAAAATTTTAGACGTAAATAAGAAGTAAAAAATCACAAGGAATGAATGGGTCTTTAGAATTGAAAAAAAAAAAAAACTATTGATATGTTGACAGCATAAAACCCTGTTTGTAAAATTCATCAGGCAACTCCAATGGGTCTTTAAAATTGAAAAAACTATATTCTAACTATTATAGATTTTCGTTCTAGATGAGAAAATTTGGAGACCGATCGATTTGAGACTCCAGAGGTTCAAGTTTTAAAGAAACTTATTCTTCATTAATTTGTCAAGTAAAAGATAAAGGAAATGTACGTTATTAGTTCAGTTGCACATGACAACATGCTCGTTTTAATTCAGTTGCACATGACAGTGTACTCGCCTTAATCCAATTTCACATGACAATATGTTCGCAGTCGTATAAGAGTAGTTTATAAACATATATCGTCTCGTCAAAATACCGATCGTGTTGGAGAATGACTAGTGACCAGACGTGTGCTTAATAAGTGCAAACCTTCGTTTAGTTTCATGTATAACTGTAGACATCGAAATTTCGTAAATAAATGTTGACCGATAAATCAAAGTGTCAACGCTCATGTATTACATAAATTTTACACGTAGCGTGTGACTCAACGAAAATTGAAATGAGTTGGAAAAGTCATCAAATAGGACACGTGTCAACGCCTGGCAGAAACGACTTATTTCATCTGGAATATTATATTCAAAATTAGGCCTTGGAAAATTATATAAATACAAGCCCAATTTCATTCATTTGGGGGACCAATTCACATTACACCTTGAAGCCCTGAAGCTCTGAAGCTCTGAAACTCCAAGGCTCTCAAGCATCCAGGTTCCCGAAGAATCAAGAAAGTATTCTTCGTTCTTCGTTCATCGTTCTTCCAAGATCAAGCCCCGACGGCCCTTGAAGAAAGCACCATCCTTCATCATCCGTTCATCCAAGATCAAGCCCCAACGGCCCTTTGGATCAACAAACGTCGACAAATCCACACATCCAACCGTTCTTCAAGATCAAGCCCAAAAGCCCTTGAAGATCTGTTCATCACTGTTCTTCAAAGATCAAGCCCAAACGCCCTTGAAGATCCGCTCATCACCGTTATTCAAGATCAAGCCTCAAACGGCCCTTGAAGAAACATTCATCCTCAAGATCAAGCCCCAACGGCTCCTTGAAGATCCGCTCAAATCCAACTTCAAAGATCAAGCCCACGGCCCTTTGAAGAAACTTCCAACTGTTCATCCAAGATCAAGCCTTGACGGCCCTTGGATCAACAAAATATCCACAAATCAACACCTTACGGAGATCGAATCAAAGGATCAAAATAGAGAGAGATTGTAACCCAAAATCATCAAATACAAATATTTGTTTGTGCACGTTGTTCTTGTCTCTTTCGTTTCAGGAATTTTCCGTGTTCACAAATTGGCACGCCCGGTGGGACATCTCTACCTCTCATCTCTTTCTCCGTTCAAGAAATTCAAGCGCACTTACAAAATTAATGGCATCGAGGAAGGCTCAAACTGTTCCCGCAACCGGCGCAAAGAACAAGAGCATCCTCGCCGCAACTGGTGTCACTTTGGGCATCACGACTCGAAGCATGGCAAGAGCTACTTCCGCCACCCCTTTCACCTCTGCATCAACTCTGCCAAGGGAACGAGAGTACCCCAGACGCGAGCCTGTGATCACCTTAGCCTCACTAAGGGCACCAAGGGGGGGAAGCCCAAGGAAATACTCCGAATTCATGCTCTCCGATGCCGATTCAAGCGGCAGTGCAACCATGCAAGTCATGACCATTGGAGCAACTTCAATCGATGAGCAGCTGGCTCAAATGAATGAAGCAATCGCAAGGCTAACCCGAACTGTGGAAGAAAAAGACTTGCAAATTGCAGCACTAGTCAACCGACTGGAGGCGCAGGACGACGATAAACCCGACCCAGAGAATGATCCACTAAAGAGAAGAGATGACGAAGAAGATGAGCCTCAGGTGGAGAAAAACGATGCGAAGCCGGAGCCAGACCAAGCAGCGGCACTCATGAGATCTCTTTCTATCCAGCAGTTGCAAGAGATGATCACCAACACCATCAAGGCACAGTACGAAGGGAGCTCAAATACCTCCGGGTTGTACTCAAAGCCGTATTCAAAGAAGATCGACATCTTAAGGATGCCGAGGGGTTATCAACCACCAAAGTTCATGCAATTTGATGGAAAGGGAAACCCGAAACAGCACGTTGCCCACTTCGTTGAAACTTGCAACAACGCAGGAACCGAAGGGGATTACCTCGCAAAGCAGTTTGTGCGCTCGCTGAAAGGAAACGCCTTTGAGTGGTACACAGACCTAGAGCCTGAGTCCATCAACAGCTGGGAGCAGTTAGAGCGGGAATTCCTCAACCGCTTCTATAGCACCCGCCGCACTGTGAGCATGCTAGAGCTAACAAGCACAAAGCAGTGGAAGGACGAGCCAGTCATTGACTACATCAACAGATGGCGCACTCTAAGCCTCGACTGTAAAGACAGGCTCTCGGAAACCTCTTCAATCGAGATGTGTATCCAAGGCATGCAATGGGGTTTGCAATACATCCTTCAAGGCATTAAACCACGGACCTTTGAGGAATTGGCCACTCGCGCCCATGACATGGAGTTGAGCATCGCCCATCATGGGAAGAAGGAACCGATCGCCAACTACAAAAACGACAAAGCTCTTGAGACAAAGGTAGAAAAGGCTGCATGGAAACCCACCAAGGAAGCAATGACGGTCAACACAGCTCCCGTCAAAATCTCCACACGAGGCAAGGCGATTCAAACCGAAGCTTTTCGTGATCAAGAGATGCGTAGACGCACTTTGAAGGAGCTTGAGGAGAAGATTTATCCATTCCCCGACTCTGATGTGGTTGCCATGTTAGATGACCTGTTGGACAAGAAGGTGATCAGTTTGCCTGAGTGCAGACGGCCGGAAGAGATGAATCGTACTGACAGTCCAAGATACTGTAAATTCCACCGCTTCATCAGTCATCCGACAGAAAAGTGCTTCGTGCTGAAAGATCTCATCATGAAGCTGGCTCAGAAAGGAATCATCGAGCTAGATCTTGACGATGTGGTGAAGTCAAACTATACCACCTTCACTTCTGGCTCTTCCGACTCAAAGTTTTCACCTCAACCGCTGGGGGCATCGTCCAAGACAAGCAAAGTTGAAGGATGGACTGAAGTCACTCCTAAGAAATTGCACAAGAAGCATACGTCTCCTCCACATGTCCGCCAATCGGAAAGGGGGCAAAGCAGCTCTTGTCAACTTTCAAAGCAACATGAACGTGTTGAAGATGATGACATTTCGACACATAGATCGTCCATCCCCATCACGATGCGTGATTTCTTTCCTGAAGACTTCTTCAATCACTCGGTCAAGGCTCCTTGCTATAAAGATTGTGAGGAACGCCTCTCCAAAATTACTTGACAAATTCACCATGCTCCTTGTTCGCACGAGCCTAAACTGCACGAACCGAAGCTCCTTGTCCGCACGAGCCTAAACTGTAGGACACGAGGCTCCTCGCCTGCACGAGCCTAAACTGCATGGCACAACGCTCCTGATCCGCACGAGCATAAAAGGCGACACCAACGCTCCTGGTCTGCACGAGCATAAAGGCAACACCAACACTCCTTGTCTGCACGAGTTGAAACTGCAAATGGCACCAAAAGAAAATACCAAAAAAAAAAAATGTATTTGAACTACGTTACGACTTGATCTCTTCTTTGGAGGGGTACGTAGGCAGCTCGAATGTTCAATTTTTCGAGTTCAGTCACATCAAAATCAAAAGAATAAATGTTTTATTAAAGAAGGGCAATTTCATTACAAATTGATTTTGTAAAGAAAATTTTGTACAAAATTAAATTACAGTTTCTTCGAAAAAAAATAAATAAATAAATAAAATTTTTTGAATACATATGTTATTATGTATTTAGAAAAAAAAATGTTTTATTAAATAGAGTCAATTTTATTACAAAAAAAAAAGAATACATATGTTAAAAAAAAAAAAAAAAAAAAGGCCCAAGCCTTCCTTCATTTCATAGCCACCAGATCCCATGGCCAATATGCCCAATAGGCCCATGAAGAGGCCCAAGTCTCTCTCTCGCCCTACTACTCCTCGTTGGCCGCCTCTCTTAACTCTCTATCTCGCAAATCGCCATGGCCATCACCTTCTCAGATCTCTACACTGATGCCGGTCTCAAAGCCCTCGACGAGTTCCTCGCCGGCAAATCTTACATCTCCGGAGAGAAGCTGACTTTGGATGACATCAAGGTCTACACCGCCGTGTTGGAGAAGCCCGCCGGTTCTTTTGCCAATGTGAGCAAGTGGTACGACGCCGTTTTGTTCCAACTCGCTTCCACCTTCCCCGGGAAGGCCGCCGGAGTGAGAGTCAGCAGCGGCAAGGCTGGGACTGCTGCTCCCGTTCCCGCTGCCGCCGCTGGAGGTGATGACGATGACGATTTGGACCTCTTTGGCGACGAGACTGAGGAGGACAAGAAGGCCGTTCGGAGTGTCGAGATGGAGGGTCTCTTCTGGGACGCATCGAAATTGGTTTCCGTTGGTTACGGCATCAAGAAGCTGCAGATCATGCTCACCATTGTCGATGACCTTGTTTCCGTCGATGACCTCATCGAAGAGCAGCTTACTGTTGAGCCCCGCCAACAAGCCCATCCTCACTTGTGTCTCGGCCCAGCTCTCAAAGCCCAATCCGGGTTTTCTCCTCCAGCCGTGCCTTCGACTTGCAGCTCACCACACACCACGGGCCAGCCCAATGCCGTCATCAATTTCACTCCGCAACCACAGCTCCTCCTCGCCCAGCTCACTCGTCTTCCTCTACGAGCCGATGTCAGTTCAGAAGCCGCCGATGACTACCGATAACCGGAGGCGGAAAGGGAGAGAAGTCGCAGCCGCCATCTTTGCAGAGACTCAATTTTTCACCCTCTTGACCTCCAACTCCACCTCCTCCGGTTGAATTGAGAGCGGAAACGGACCTCAGAGACGAATCCACTATCTGGGGAATTGCAGAAACAGTAGGTCCAGCCCCAATTCCATCCAAGTAGAATGCTTTCTTGGGCTTGCTGACCACGAAACTGTCATCTCTGCTGACTCTGGCTGAAGCAGTTTTAGCAACACCTCCCCTGTCAGTGTTGAACACATACGCAGCAGCAGAACCAGGATCAGCGGTTGAAGGCGGCGGAGCAGCAGAACCAGCAGCCGCACGGGTGCCCGCGGTGCCAGTCCATGAACACCAAGTTCTGCTACTACAACAACTATAGTCTCTCTCAGCCACGGTACTTTTGCAAGGCGTGTAGGAGGTACTGGACTCAGGGCGGGACCCTCAGGAACGTCCCCGTCGGCGGCGGATGCCGGAAGATGAAGCGCGCCAAGGGAGGTTCCTCCTCGGCGTCAGCATCTCGGACCGTGCAGCCGCAGCCATCACAGAAAGAGCAGGACATGCAGAACACTCTGGGAATTGGCGGCGACTCCGTTGGGATGTCCACGGAAAACCCGAGCGGTGGTTTGGCTGTTCACCATCAGTACTACCCTGGTGCTTCTCATGGGTACTTGTCATCTCTTGCAGGGCTTCAATCTCTGAATCAATCTCAGCCGTTCAATGTTGGGGGTGGTCATGATCCTGCCTCGAACATGAGCCTGCTGCAGGGGTTCAATCTCCCAGCTCCTGCGTGGAATGGTCAGATGGTTCAGTCGCAACCACAGCAGCAGCGCAGTGAGCGGCGATGTGCAGCAATCTCTGGCAGCCTGCTCTTCTTCACCACCGTTAGCTCTCCCCTTCTGCCCATCCGTTCCAAGCAGCAACGGCGACGGCAAAGTCTCCGACATCAAGGTTGCACCGCTCTTCTCTTGCCTCATCCTCCGTCTCTTGCCTCGCAGCTGCCACCAACTTCAAAGACCGCTGTCAAACAACTAGCCGGCCGAGAAGCTCTTCCTCAAACTCCAGCTCTCCGTCCGTCTTCGTCCGCTCCCTGCAAATTCCTCTACCCACCACCCAAATTTATACAGAAAAATATATAATAAAAAAAGGGATGGTGGAGCAAAGTGGTGCTGCCACCACGTGAAAAAAAAATAAAATAATAATAATAAAATAATATAATAATATATATAGGGATGGTGCATCTGGCACCATGTGCCAGCAAAAAGAAAAAAAGGTGGGTGTGAGCACCGCCGAAAGAAACAAAACAAATAATAAAAGAAAATTTTGATGGTGCATCTGGCACCATGGAAAAGAAAAGAAAAGAAAAAAAAATGATTAAAAGGGAAGTGATGGTGCATCTGGCGCATCTGCCACCATGAGAAACATATATATATATACATATATAATACATTTAGTAAAATCCATCTTTTATTTATTTCTCTAAAAATTTACATAAATTCGCATTCCACATGTCATAAAAAAAAAAAATTAAATCAAATCAAATTTACAAGAGGGGATCTTCAAGGACGATCAGGCGGCGCCTCACCACGCGGCAGAGCTCCAGAAATGAGAGGCGCCGGAGGGTGACTGTTTGAAGCCACACCACTCAGCGGAACTCCAGGAAGAAGAGGAGCCAAAGGTTGATCATCTGGAGCTTCATTACGCGGTACAGCCCCAGAAGACGAAGGCAAATGCTGCTGGAACAAACCCACAAACCTCCGATGATCCAGTAAAATCTGACCATCAGATTCCTGAAGGATTTATTTTGAAAAACATGTTCATTTGAGCAACATCATATAGCATGCAATTAACAATTAGAGGCGGAATCATGCTTGTATGCACTAAAAAACAAAACATGACCATGAAATTCAAAGCCTAGTAGATTGGTGAACCAATTAATCAACTCAAAACAAAGTGAGTTGAAATTAATACCTTTGTAGATTCCTCTTTGCATAAGCAAAGGCTAATCACCCAAAGAGATAGGGCCTTCATTCCTTGCTTCTTAGATCCATGGATTTGGATGGAAGAATAGGTTCTCTAAGTTCCCAAAATTGGGAACCTCTAAGTCTCTTCACCAAGGTTTGATTGTAGAAGAAATGAGTGACCTTGGAGTAGTAGGATTGCTAGATGTACCTTCCAAGGTGTTGGCCTCTTTAGAGAGAAAATGGAGAGACAATTCTCACCAATTTTCCCCCAAAATAAACCCTTTTAACACTTAATGAATATTTGGCTATAAAGTCATTTATATAGTCACTTCTTTAAGTGACCTAAATAACCAAAACCCTAATTCATCACACTATGGCCGGCCATTTAGGGAGTTTTTGGGCTTTTGGGCCTTTGTGAATCTTTATTCATTAAGTTGTCATACAACTTAAGTCAATGGGCTTGACGTTCGAAGCCCATTGGGCCTTAAGGTCCAAAACTATCCCGAGGTCTTTAACGAACTTATTCGTTTGATTAATTAACATATTAATTAATCCTTGCCATAAATAAATGATTAAACCATTTAATCATTCTTACTCATTTCAGTTTAATCTTCAATCTCCACCTTTTATGGTGTGCGATCCATTAGGTTCCTTTTAGCGAGGTAGTGGGCGATTAAAACCTTTTTACATCGATTGTGAATTGAAACTATTTTCAATTCTCCCTTTAGTGATTACACACGTTTAGGGCTTCCACAAACCATGAGTGACACCTAGCAGCATATCATGGTTACCCAAGCTAATCAGAAGAGGATAGAGAACCTATTCAGTTTGGGATTACAAATGCAATACGATCCTTCTCTAATCTAATACTCTTGACCACATTGTTTGGTATGATAGTTTATTTATTCATGTCTACTATCCAATGTGATTCGTGTGCTTATATGATTTCCTTGAATGTGATTTGGAACGCATTCCCTAATCTCATTCATACTCTGGCCAGAGATTCCAAATCATATCATAGAGTATTCTCCCTCAACTGTTTGAAGGTTAGAGATCCCTTGTTGCGCATTCACTTGTCTCCATAGCTAAGTGGCTTAACCCCAACGATGCCGTGGACACCCCGAGGGGGTGACTTTGACATAATCAAAGATCAAGGACTTAACCACAAGACAACTGTGATGCCTCAGGTCAAATGACTACTTTGCATTATCCCAACCATGAGTTCTCATGTGACATGGAATATAAGAACTCTTCGTTGATCACGTTCAGTGAACTCATTCTCTATTGAGCACCTACCGTACTTGTCTTGATGTCACACACACCAATAACTAGAGACTAATCACTCTCCCTGAGAGAAGACATAGTACGTACTGATCTTAACGGACTATCAACGCCCAATTGGCAATCCTATGATCAGGAACGTTTAGGATGTGTCTACGAAAGAATGGTCTCATGAATCTAACTTCATTAGATTACATTCTCCCAATCACATATTCCTTGGACTTTATCGTTTAAGCATATAACATTTATATGAGACGGCTTAAACAATAATTTATGCCCTTTATATGTTAAACTGGATTAGTTTAACATGTGAAATGTCCGTAAAGTATCATCACATGATTGGCTTTAGGGCACATTTCCAACAATTCCTGCATCTGGTCAATCTTCCTCTTCATGTTTGTCGCATAGCTATGTGCGAGCTTATGCAACTGTTTATTCTCCTGCTTGAGCCCTCTAATCTCCTGTTTGAGACTCGTCACTTTAGCCGCCAATGATTCAACTTGACGGGTTCGAGCAAATAGGCGTTGGGCCATATTAGACACAGAACCTGCACACTGCACACTGAGAGCCAGAGAATCCTTAACAGCCAACTCATCAGACCGTTTGGAAAGTAGTCTGTTATCTCTGGGAGTGACAAGGTTTCGGGCCACCACCGCAGCGGTCATATCATTCTTTACCACCGAATCCCCAACGGTAAGAGGACCAGTAGGGGATATGAAGGATGGGCGCTATATGTTGTCTGGAGAAGGCGGGACTGCCTCTTCACCAAGGTTCAAATCAAAACGACGGTCAGAGGGACCAGACATTTTCAAAGGTGTTAAAGAAAGAAGAGGTCGGACAAATCGAGATCTTAGAAGTGCAAGAAGGGAGTTTCTACAAGCGAAAATTCAAATGTGCTTTGAAACGAACTGCTTGCCTCTATAAAAAAGCAACACTCGACGGGATTTCAGAGATCGAAGAGGCGAGCTCAGAATTCGAAGAGGCCATTCAAAAATCGAAGAGGCAAGCTCGGAAATCGGAGAAGCATCTTGCTTTTACAGACGCGTCGGCACCCATCACACGTAAACTTAGCTTTGCGGAAATCACGGGTAATTTGTCGAAGCGCCGATCCCAGATATCGAAGAGGCGCCAGTCTTTTTCAACCGCGTCATCACCTGTCATATGCACACTCAACTTTGCGCAAATCACGGGCAATTTGTCGAAGATTTTCGGTTAAGGAGAAAGCACGTGAAAGTTTACTGTTCAATCACGCGTTAGTTGCCGACACAAGTGAAAGAATAGTACATCTACAGGTATTAAGGGACCTCCTATAACTGTCCACCTTCACCTTCCATAGCAAGGCAGACATACATAGCCTTTCTTCATCTCAAAAAATGCTTTCCCAACGAAACCTCTCGAGTCATTTAGTGTTCCTTATTCCTTGGGGTACCTCTGCAAGCCAATGACTCCAAAAGCAAAAGTATCTCATATCGCCAGGGTAGAAAGCAAGAGTATCTCATATCATGCGTTCTCCCTGTCATTTCCTTTGTCCTTGTTCCTACCTACAAAGACAAGGATAAAGAAAACAATATGCCGGAACTTCCACTCAAACTCGGGTAAGGAACCGACTGCTTGGAACCCTTCCCTAATTGCCTACCTAGCACTGCTCTCGAGTACTCGTCTCCCACTGCCGTTGTACTTCCAAAGAAGCTGCCACATCTGCCTGGAGAACAGATAAGGCAAGTGAAAATGATACCTTGCAGCATGTGGAGACAAGGTGCAGAAGGAACAAGCAGAGAAGAATGCAGTCTGCACAGTCAACTTAGCAGAAGGAGTCCGAGCTGAAGAACTCGAGAAGCTGCCATATCTGCCTGAAGAAACAAGCAGAGAAGAATGCAGCATGCTCAGTCAACTCGGCAGAAAGAGTCTGAGATGAAGAACTCGAGAAGATGCCACATCTGCCTGAGGAACAGATAAAGGAAATGAAGATGATACCTTGAAGCATGTGGAGACAAGTGCAACCAAGCACGTGCTGATTCATCCGTTACTTCTTCAAAAGCAAGGGTATCTCATATCATCAAAGTTGCAATCACTCTGACGGTGAATTCGTTTTGACCCTCAAATTCTTGGGTCGACTTACTAGGCGTTGTAGGCTGCACGTGCCGATTCACCACCCTTGAATCAAATCCTTAAAGATCAAGTCACCAACTGGAAGAAAAGCCCATCAATCTTGAAGATCATACCGTTGACCAAACTGCTCAGGTGTGAATTAGAAAGATTGAACAGAGCAACAAGTCGTCACCTTCACCTCGTGCTTGCTTGTCATGTGTTCAAGTCAACCTTCAAGGATCAAGCCCTAACGGCCCTTGAAGAAGTTTCCAACCAAATTCAAGATCAAGCCTCGACGGCCCTTGAGGAAATCACAAGTCCGATTCAAGATTAAGTGTCTACCACCCTTGAATCAAAACCTAGTTCAAGAATAAGCTGTGGAAAATCAACAGTTGGAGGAATCCAGAAAATCCTCCAACCCAGTTCAAGATTAAAGCTGTGGAAAGTCAACAAGCGCAACAAAATACGTGCCGATTCACCCACTACCAAAGCCAAAGATCATTCACCACATGAAGCTCCTTGTGGTCCAATTTCAACCTTCAAGATCAAGCCTCGACGGCCCTTGAAGAAATTTCAAACAAAAGTTCAAGAACAAGCCTCAAAAGCCCATTGAAGAAATCTCAAAGCCCAATTCAAGATCAAGCCTCAACGGCCCTTGAAGAAATCTCCAGCCCAATTCAAGATCAAGCCTCGACGGCCCTTGGATCGACATCTACAGTAAGGGACTTCAAAACACATCTCCTACACGTGACAAACACATGTATACGACGTGCCTTGAAGTGGGGGCATTTGTAGACATCGAAATTTCGTAAATAAATGTTGACCGATAAATCAAAGTGTCAACGCTCATGTATTACATAAATTTTACACGTAGCGTGACTCAACGAAAATTGAAATGAGTTGGAAAAGTCATCAAATAGGACACGTGTCAACGCCTGGCAGAAACGACTTATTTCATCTGGAATATTATATTCAAAATTAGGCCTTGGAAAATTATATAAATACAAGCCCAATTTCATTCATTTGGGGGACCAATTCACATTACACCTTGAAGCCCTGAAGCTCTGAAGCTCTGAAACTCCAAGGCTCTCAAGCATCCAGGTTCCCGAAGAATCAAGAAAGTATTCTTCGTTCTTCGTTCATCGTTCTTCCAAGATCAAGCTCCGACGACCCTTGAAGAAAGCACCATCGTTCATCATCCGTTCATCCAAGATCAAGCCCCAACGGCCCTTTGGATCAACAAACGTCGACAAATCCACACATCCAACCGTTCTTCAAGATCAAGCCCAAAAGCCCTTGAAGATCCGTTCATCACTGTTCTTCAAAGATCAAGCCCAAACGCCCTTGAAGATCCGCTCATCACCGTTATTCAAGATCAAGCCTCAAACGGCCCTTGAAGAAACATTCATCCTCAAGATCAAGCCCCAACGGCTCCTTGAAGATCCGCTCAAATCCAACTTCAAAGATCAAGCCCACGGCCCTTTGAAGAAACTTCCAACTGTTCATCCAAGATCAAGCCTTGACGGCCCTTGGATCAACAAAATATCCACAAATCAACACCTTACGGAGATCGAATCAGAGGATCAAAATAGAGAGAGATTGTAACCCAAAATCATCAAATACAAATATTTGTTTGTGCACGTTGTTCTTGTCTCTTTCGTTTCAGGAATTTTCCGTGTTCACAATAACAAAATAAAAATGATAATGCCATGAAAAATAAATGTTGGTTACAACCATGGTCTAAAATATCTATAATATCCTGACATTTCCATCGAAATTTTCATGTTTTTGGACTACCGATATTTCCGATATTATCGATATTTTAGACCTTACTAAGTCACTCATGTATCTTACCATGCAATGTATAAGGTGTAAAATATTGTACTAATTCATTATATATAAACGATTATGGTGTGTTTAAACTTCTTTCATTAATTACTACATATTTTCTACACTCACAATGTTTGCCAGCTCGCTATATAATCAATTTAAATCAGTTATATCTATCATGCAATGCATTTCCTTCCAATTTTTTGTGATAAACTAATAGATAATTGACTAAATAAACATCCTGCAAAGTTTCAATAAAAATTTCCAAGTTTTTCTTACAATTTCCGTGGTTTTTATTCAATTTTTTCTTATATCGATAATATTTCGATATTTCCATCGAAATTTCCGTGTTTTTGGACTACCAATATTTCCAATATCAACGATATTTTATACATTGGTTACAACGAACCGAAAAGGGAGTTTTGCTGACTGTTTCTAGATCAAGCCACGTTGATGGCTCTGTTTGACTTCCATTTATAAAAAGTCGGATTTTGATTTCAATGTTATGTTCTTCTACGTAACTCTTAACTAATTAATCATCAAGAATTAAAGTTCAATTCTTCTGCTTCCTCTAAGTGGGGCAAACAAGACTTTTGGATCAATTCTGGAATTAACGTGGGCTTGCATTCACACAGTACTCAAAAGGCCGAAGCTTAGAGAACCGGATCCTTTCTAGACTCAAAGGAACTGAGTTTAAAGATCAAATGATTTGGATCATTAAAATTTGATTAAACGGTTATAAGTATTATAACTTTTAGAAGGACCTCTTATTTGTAGCCGTTTGATCAAATTTCAATGATCTGGATTATTTGATCATTAAGCTCAGTTCCTTTAGGTCCAGGGATCCGGTTCCAAAGCTAGTGCACTTTAGTCCGACAAAAAACAATAGTGCATGCATTAGGGCTTATCAGTGATGATGGGAGAGTACTGCCTGCAGACTCCCCTCCTTCCTCGGTTCTGTGAATCTGATCATTTCATGTCCTTTTTAGTTGAAAGTGCAAATGCCATTTTGTCACTTCTTACGGAAAAGGAATAACTTTTTTGAATTACATTTTGGAGTATGTACTTCTTTGAGATTCCAAGTCATAATCATCTGTTATATCAACATGAATTTGAGGAGTGCAAACGAAATTAAAGTTGCAAATGCCATTTTTCCCAATTCTAAAGAAAATCACTAATTATTTTGAACTACATTTTGGAGATTGTATTCAAGATTCCACATAAGTCATCATGCACTCATCTGTTATACTAACATTAAGTTAAAAAGTGTTGAATAATTTTTTTGAGCACCAATAACAATTTATATGCATACAATTACATATGCATCATATATTTGCAAGCACATCAGTATATAACTTTGAGCTGGACGTGAGTTTGAAATAGATATGTAATTTAAATGTAGTCGATATCATTATACTGTTTTGTGCGAAAAATATATTGAATAGATGGATGCATGGATAGCAACGGGGAGACAGGCAGGTGGTACTATTAGTCGGAATGGATATATAAACATGTGAGGGCCGGCCCTAACAATATGGGGACCTTAGGCGAATTTTCGAAGTGGCGTCATAGATTTTGATTTCTGACCTTTTGGCTTTGTACATTGATATGTATAAAAAAAATTTGTTAAATACATAAAAAAATCTATTTGTACATCAAATATCATTAGAAACTAATATCATAAAAAGAATACATATATACAAACATTACTTAAATATTACATGTCTCGCGTTTTTAAATGCATATGTACTAATTAAGCACAGAGTTTATAATAGTAATATATATATATAATACAAATTGAAAGCCCCTTCGGAGTGGGGCCCTTGGTGGCTGCCTACTCCGGCTACTGAATGGATAGCAAAGAAGAAAAACAAGGGAGAAAAGCAAAAGGAGATATGAGTAGGCGGTACAGTTATCTGGTATATACACACTCCACAAGTTCCAAGTCCAGTAGTCCAGGGCAGCCGGGGATAGCTAGATCGATATGTAGCCAAAGTGCCGCAGTCCTTGTGGAAATTATGATGGATATATGATGTGAAGTGACTTTGAAATTGGAATGGTAATTAGATAGATGCATGGCTATTTCTCGATAAATAATGCATTTGAAAAGTCGGGTCAGAACTGCATGTATCGAATAGTACAGCATATGTATATGCTTCCTTTTTCTGGCTTCCTAAATGTGTATTTAGTGTGGAAAGCCACCTCCTGAGTTCTGACCGGCCACCTCCATCTACCAAAATTTTCCCTCCTGCTATGACTAATTGACTCCTTATAGGCACACACCCTAATAGGCTAATAGCTAAGGAACTCAACAAGAAAACTCTAAGACTTGTCCAACAAGAAAACCCATAAAATAACAATATACCCTAACATAATAAATTAATAATAAACCAAACAACTAACTAATTAAGATAGATATTTGCGATTAAGATAGTAGTTTATAGGTTTAATAATAATCTTGTTAATGGTAAATAACATAGTAATACTCTATTGTCCGACAACTTGACGTATCAAATCGTCACAACTCTAAAATTACACTAGTTAAACTTCTTAATCCAGAACAAAAAGCTATAATATGTACATAATGAGAATATGATAGTTATTTTACTTAGATGAAACTCTCACTAAGAAAAAAAAATTACCATGCACAAATTATTTTAGTGTATACTTACATATATAATAAGTATAAAATTATGAACATGTTTTGTGGACTCTGTGCAAAATTTAATTCAAATTCTTGTTGTAGAAAATTAAATATATATATTAGCGTATACTCACATTTATAAATGTATACAACAAACGAAGATCAGGGGCCCTTTGAAATTGAGGCCTCTGCGTGAGTGCACCACTTGTTCTCTTCAGGCCAACCCTGATTGATGCTACGTATAAATGTGAACTAACTGATGTATATATAATTCATCCAAGAACATGTATGGCAAGTCTTACCATGGACTTCTGTTCAAGTATATATGCATCACGCATTTGCATGAAATCAACTGAATTGTTTGAAATATCGACTCAAATTCTCAATATAAACCGCATGAATCATGGCTTAAAAATTAGCACTTAAATATACCAACATATCGAGTCAAAGGTAGCTTTGAAATTGCTAATGCAATTTCATCACATTGTCAGAAGTTTGAACAGAAATTGTCAACCAAATACTCCACGTGTCTATCTGACTAGCTAGTTGGATTGCTATTTTTTTTTAATACATTTCCAGTTTGCTTGTCGCTCAACTTTAGCGTGATAAAGAAGGGTCAGACATAGACCCCCACTTAACTTCGATTAATTTCCACTTCGTTTCTGGCTGAACTTTGCAAAATATATAGAAAATACATTCTCATACGTACAAAATATTGAAATTAAGCTAGAAATGCACAAATGTTCAAATCAATGCTTTTGCATGAAACCATTGCAGCAACAAACAGTGACTGTTTATCTTGGTTGTTGGTTAAAGGATTGTTTCGACTGTTTTCGAGAGAGACGCATTGTTTTTAATTTATTTTCTAATTTTGTATCTTCTCTGCAAGTGACCTCATTTTCTGTTAGTTTCTTGTTCAATTCTTGGATGTTTCCTTTTACACACTATTTCATTAATCATATTGTTTCGTGGATTATGTTGCATCAAAATTTTGGATAATTAATTAAACTATTTAATGTAGGTTTATATATGCCTTGCATGAACATATGTATAATAAAATATATGAATTAAACCGTAACTTTCTATGATTTTATTCGAGCTCTAAATACATCATCACATAGGTCTCCTGAAATGTAGTAAACATGATCAACTTAGCCGCGTGGATGTTGCCACTCCCAGTTTTGAATCTTTCTATGTAATTCCTTAGCCCAGTATAGGCACAATTGGTTGAAATTCTTTTAGAAGCGTTCTTATTATACACTCATATTTTTCAATAACATACAGTACGATTTAATTGATATGATTCTTATTATACACTGAAAACAATCGCACCATCACATCGATAAACTTTTATGTACATGGAACACTTGTCACTTAGTGTATCTTTTTATGTGTTATAATATGGGTAAATAATAAGGCTGCCCGTGATCCAATATTTGGACAGGGTATTGGTTTGTACCCATGCATACCTGGTTTGAAAAACATCCATCTCCTAAATTATTATAATAGTTTCGAACCCTCCTCTCACCTAAATAATAATAATTTTTTTATTTTAAGAAATGCTTTCAAAGTTTATTAATGAAAAAAATAATACATGTGTTACAATTTGTGTGTAACTATAGTCTCATGTGACGATATTCCAGCTACAGCTACACCAAAAAATCTCTCGCACCGTGTCATACACTCACTATTTTCTTCTTCATTTTTATAATTTCAATTTGCACGAAATAATTAGGATATTATAAATATTTGAATGCTCAAAGGTATTCAACATAACTATATAATTTGATCAACAAATGTAAATAAAACATGAAGTGGAGGAAGGTTCCCCCCCCCCTTGACGAACCAATTTCGCATAACTAGCTAAAGAAATGGTCGTAAACCACGATCGAAATTCAACCCTAGCAAGCCCTTTAGACTTGAAATTCAATTTCACGTGATTCCATCATATATGGCGACCCTCTCACGAAGCCCCGGCCCGGACCTCCACTATAAATACCCCTGCTCTCACATTGTTTTAGCAACCAAGCAAATCGACAGTCTACAAACATATACCACCCTCATTTCCAAAACCATCTCAATTTCCAATCGGCTCGCCAAATCCTTCATTGCTCTTTATCGTTAACAAAAAAATTATGGCTCCAATAGTCTCAAAACTTGGCATCATTGGCGCCGGTGTAAGTGGCATAGCAGCAGCCAAACAACTAGCCCATTACAACCCCATTATTCTCGAGGCCTCTGACTCCATTGGAGGGGTTTGGAGGCATTGTTCTTACAATTCCACAAAACTTCAGTCCCATCGATGTGACTATGAGTTCTCTGACTTCCCTTGGCCTGACAGGGACAACACTGATTATCCTTCTTACCTTGAGATATTGGACTACTTGAAATCTTATGCTGAGCACTTTGATGTGCTTAAGTTTGTCAGGTTCAATTCCAAGGTGGTCGAAGTCCGGTTCGTTGGTGACCGGGAAACTACTGATTTTGATGTCAAACCTGTGGAGTATCAGAGTCTCTCGTCGGCTGGCGGTCAGCCTGTTTGGGAAGTTGCCGTCCAGACCAATGATTCAGAGACCATTCAGGTTTAGTTATTTACTTCATATCCAAATGGTATTTTCGGACAGTTTCATGCATGCCAAGGGTTTGCAGATCGCTACTTGATACAGTATCTTTGTGGAAATGGAACTCGGATTAATTACTAGAGTCTTACTAAGAAATATATGGAGATGCAAATATGTTGCAAAAAGCACTTCTATACGTAACCGAATTATTGGTAATAAATAAAACTATTTGAACACACAAAATTAACACATCTACCAACACTTTCTAATAGAGGTGGATCTTACAATTTTATGTAAATCAAACTGTATTAGAGAATGTGTCAACAATTGAGATGATACATTTTCCGTAGCTTAAATGTCAATCCTACTAGTTATTATCTTGGAAATGATAAAATTATGTTCTGATTTTTTTTTGTTTGTTCGAATTAATTCAGTGGTATGCCTTCGAGTTCATTGTGGTTTGCATCGGAAAATATGGAGATAGACCCCAAATTCCAGAGTTTCCACTCAACAAAGGGCCTGAAGTATTTCAAGGTCAGGCTCTTCATACTCTTGATTACTGCAAACTGGACAAGGACGCTGCTTCTGAATTGCTAAAGGATAAGGAGGTCGTTGTGGTTGGCTACAAAAAATCAGCTATTGATTTAGCTGTCGAGTGTGCTGAAGCAAACCAAGGTAAAAATTTGGTCCTAAAAATTCCTATATATGATGAAATCTTAGGTTAAAAAATGATAGAAAAATAGGTCTACGTTTTCACGTTACGGGGTTGTAATTTGCATGGTTACACACAGCAAGCAAAGAAAGAATTCAATGGAAAATACGAATTGCGTGGTCAGGGTGTCAAAAAAACCGACGAATATTATGATGGTTTGGACTTCTTTGACTGCACATGTTTTTCAACGCTATGATTCCAAATCAGATCGAATGAATTACGTATACATGATTTGACTTCATCAATGTTAATTACTAATTAATTATTTGCTAATTATGCATTCTCTATGTCGCTCATTCAATTATCTGTGTGTAAAAGATTTGAAATTTTGCAATACATAAGGGGGCGTGTGAATATATGAAATAGTTTCATACATAAAAATAAAAAAATAAAAAAATAAACCTTGCAAAAACTTAAAAATACTATTTTTTTACCAATTGTTTGTGGGATTAAAACGTCGATTTCTTACCTTTTAGGAGTCTTGATTATATTGACCCGAACTAATTTTGTTATTCTTTTTATGGATGTATTGCAGGACCAGAAGGCAAACCATGCACCATGGTGGTGAGGACTTTACATTGGATTGTTCCCCATTACTGGATTTGGGGCTTGCCGTTCTTCTTGTTCTACTCAACAAGGTCTTCACAGTTTCTCCATCAAAGACCAAACCAAAGTTTCCTGAGAACCCTCCTTTGCTCTCTAATTATGTCTCCAATGGTAAATTAAATCAGTTAGCAAGAAAATAAAATATTAAACTAATACATGAGAAATGATTTCTGCACACTTTTTTTGTCTCCTGCAACATCTTGTTTACTTCTGGCTTTTGGATTGAGTAAATCCAAAAAAATCATGTGATAAGACTTAGCAGGTGTACAGAAGAAGAAGAAAAAAAAATGCAGAAATCATTTCCTTAATATATATGAGATCAATGCTAAAGGTTTTGGTTGTTATTTACAGAGGCATGCAGTTTCAAAATTTATTGAATCATATTTGCTGTGGAAGATGCCTTTGGAGAAGTATGGTCTAAAACCGGATCATCCATTTGAGGAAGACTATGCATCCTGCCAGATGGCTATCATGCCGGAAAATTTCTTCTCTGAGGCGGATAAGGGAAAAATTGTGTTCAAAAGATCAACATCAAAATGGTGGTTTTCTGCTGATGGAATTGAATTTGATGACAACACTAAGATAAAAGCTGATGTTGTGGTCCTTGCAACTGGTTATGATGGCAAGAAAAAACTCAAATCCATCTTATCAGAGCCTTTTCGCAGCTTGTTGGAATGTCCATCTGGTATCATACCCTTATACAGGTAAACCTAGTTTTCGGTTTGAGATTTCAAAAATTTACACGTGTTAGAAATGTTAAAATTGGAGAGTAAATTTTTTGAATGCATGTTTCTCCTGCAGGGGAACAATTCATCCTTTGATCCCAAACATGGCTTTCGTGGGTTATCTCGAGAGCGTTTCAAATCTTCACTCTTCCGAATTGCGTAGCATATGGCTGGCCAGGCTGCTAGATGATAAATTTAAGCTTCCAAGTGTGCAGAAAATGCTTGAGCAAACAAGTAAAGAAGTGGAAATCTCAAAGAAAACAACCAGGTTCTACAGGAGGCATTGCATTTCTACCTTTAGCATCAACCACAGCGACGAAATTTGCGAGGAGATGGGATGGACATCTTGGAGGAAGAATACTTGGTTGGCAGAAGCATTTAGCCCCTATGGAAGTCAAGACTATCTGAACAAACATTGAACCTAGGGTTTGCAATAACCTATTAAATTTATAATTGACAGTTACTTTACATAAGTATACTAAGAATAAAGAAAACCTAGGTGCTTACTGAAACAGTAACGAATTATATATTGTGCCATGTATAAGCAATTCATAATCTATTTAATTATCTCAATAAAGTATTTCTCCATTGTTTACTTGTTAAAAATCACAAAATGAGCTGCTTGCAAAGTTGCCAATTAATCAGAATAAGCAAAACATCTTCATGACCAAGGTTTAAAATATCGATGATATCGAAAATATCGGTAGTCCAAAAACACGGAAATTTCGATGGAAATATCGGGATATTATCGATATCGATAAAAATTGAATAAAAACCAAGGAAATTGTAAGAAAAACTTGGAAATTTTTATTGAAACTTTGTAGGATGTTTATTTAGTCAATTATCTATTAGTTTATCACAAAAAATTGGAAGGAAATGCATTGCATGATGGATTTAACTTATTTAAGTTGATTATATAGCGATCTGGCAAACATTGTGAGTGTAGATTATATGTAGTAATTAATGAAAGAAGTTTAAACACACCATAATCATTTATATATAATGAATTAGTTATCAGCAATAGTTTAGGGGTTAAACTTAGGGTGCATTTGTTTCACCGGATTATCTCGGGCTAGATTAAGTTCAGGAACTAAATTGGATTGGCTTGACCTAGACTAACTAGTATAAGAATAATTGAACGTTTGGTATATTGTCTAACTAAATCATAGACTAAATTATTTTTGGGATCTAAATATTTTTTTGTCATTTCTTTATTTCTCTCCCCCTCTTTCTTATCCTTTCTAGATGCTTCTTGTTCCTTTTTTTTTTTGTCAAGTTCCCTTCTACTCATTCCTTTTCTTTTTCCTTTTCTCTCCCCCTCTTTCTTATCCTTTCCAGATGCTTCTTGTTCCTTTCTTTTTTTTTGGTCAAAGCTTCTCCGTTCGTTTCTACTCATTCCTTTTCTTTTTCCTTTCCTTTTCAAATTCAGGAACTGGGTACAAGTCGATGAACCCCAACTAGATAAAAGATTTACCGATCGAAGCAAACATTGGAGTTGCAGATGGTGTGGTCGAGCGCAAACGCACAGATCGACGTCGGCGTCAAGCTTTGGGTGAACGCCAATTTGGATTTGCTTACCCAGAGAGGCACCACCGCAGTTGAGCAGGACGAGGAGAGAGGGAGAGAGGGGAGAGAGAAAGAGATAGAGGAGAGAGAGTGAGTGAGAGACAATGAATGTAACACCCCAACCCCCAAATATAATGTTTAATTTCATATTTCCCCAAATATTTATGGAATCTATCAATTTAGTCCTAATTTCCTTTACCCAATCCGGATCTACACTTAAGATTCTCTTCTCTCTCAAACTGCCACGTGGCAGCACCCCAACAATCCTTATTCTTCTCTTTTTGTCCCCTACTCCGTAACCCCTTTTTATTCTTCTTTCTTATCTGCATTCTCTATCTATCTCTCTCAAAACTCTCATCTCTCTCCTTTCTCTCTGCACCGAGACCCACATACACACACGCACACCATTGCACCTGCTCGAGGAAGACACCCATCGTCATCAACAACCTCGTCTTTCTCCCTCTCATTCTTGTCTCTGCAACTCGGTGAACGCAGGAACCCTCCGGCGAGTTTCTTGAATTTCTCCGGTTAGTTTTTTGGGACAAAATCGGCTCGGGAATAGGCACACCTATCTCTGGCGAGGCCGTGGGTGTCGAGAGGTTTTCCGACCACCACAGGTCATTTCACGGCAAACAGAAGGTATAAACGCACTCCTCTCGCCTTGTGTTTTCGTTTGGTACCTAGATCGGGGTTTAGGGTGGTAGTTTGCAGTCGGCCGAAGCTGTAGAAGCTTCGAAGTTCTTCTCTGTTCTTCCCTGTTGGTTCCCGACGAGCGTAGACCTTTCAAGCTATTTCCCATAACCCTCGGGCCTTAGGCCTGTTAGGAAGGTGGAGCAATATTATCGATATTATGGATAATATCGATAATATCGCAATATTTTAACGATAATTAAGTGGATAAGTGTGAAAATATCGCCTTCTCACAAAAACGATATTATCGGCGAAAATATCGATATTTTAGACTTTGTTCATGACCTACTATTTATCACGACAGCACATCAGTGATTATATATATCTTTCACATTACACAAAAAAATAACTCACTACAAGAAAACATGGCTTATGTGAATACATATATTCGTCACAAAAGGAGAAAATTTGTCACATTTAATAATATGTGACCCATTTTCAGCATCACCGATGAGGCGTCACCGAAAATATACATGACGAATGCCACACTTGTCACATATTTTATGTATATGTGACACTGTTTTCGCCACCTATTAATTGATTTGAATACCAAATTCCGGAGATACGTAAGCGTCACAAAAAACATAATTGGGTGACGTATAAATCCGTCACATATCATATGTGTAAGTGAGGCTAAAATTGTCACCTATTTATTTGATACGTGAGGCATGGTGCTTTGCATATTTCAAAGTCAGATACCCATTTGTTTCCAATATGTGATGAACTAATTACCACATATTCCTTGTTTCATAATTTGAAGTTAGAATTCATAACAAATGTAAGATAATACTTCAGTAAATCACATTTTAATTAATCAAGAATTTAATCACATAAGTCGAAAACATACACCATGTGACGTCTCAAATAATCTAACATGAACATCCACAAAACTAAAAAGTTTCAGTAGGATACACTCATGGTCTCTCATTTCAACTTAATAACAATTCAACACCTCTAGACATTGAGGTGCTAACAAAAAAAGTCTACCCTGAGCTATTCGTCTACCCCTGACTTGCAGCCAAAAGACCTTCAATTGTGCGATAACATCTTCATTCTCCTTTTGCAAATCCATTGTGCTCTCAGCTCTTTGTTCTTCTTTTATTGAGCTCTTATAAACATACTAGACACTTTGTCAATGTTATTCAACTAGCAATGCAAGAAAAGTCAATTACAAAGATAAATAAGAAAGAAAGAGACCACGTGTACTAGATGACAGAGATAGGACTTAACATGTAGGTTCAGGTTTCAGTAGATAAAGTTATACCTTTGCATATAGCTGCAGTAACGATCGGGGAGCGCAGCTTGGCCATACGAGAAAGAGAGAGAGAAGGTTGTGTTGAGAGCCCTTTCTTTTTCCAGCCTCTGTGTGGGGAGGGCGGGGTGGGGGGCTTTCAAGTGCTCCACCCACCGCTGATGATTGTTTATCAGTTATCAAACAATAACAATACTGCAGAAAGAAAGCCACTCAAAAGTTGAAATCAAACCAGAAAAATCCCATTCCACATTCCCAGATGCGGTACCAAACATACCTCTCTATCGATGTATTCTTCAACATCCCTTCGACCGTGGGACAACTGACAAGGATGCTCCACTCTTGCCCCAAATCTGTATTCTGTATTTCAAACCTCAATGACCATCACACTTGCTCCAGCCTCTTAACTCGACAAACTAAAAAAACCAAAACCCTTTCTAAGAATCATTGATAATATGCTGACTTGTTGCAAGAAAATTTCACGAGCACAAACACCATCTAGTTAGAAATAACAGTGTTATTGATGATCATGTAACTAGTTGTGACAGACCATTACATAGACTGCCGGAGTATGGACTTCATCACTGTCTGTTAAGAACACAAGGACAAAATGTTAGTACAAAAACTATCAAACCCCAAACGTGTGAAGCATAATAGACTTCCCCGACCCAAACCTCGACTTACAAGTGTGAAACTAACTTCTACAAGATGCAATCTGTAACCTAAACACCACTATATAAAATTCAGCCCCATACTCAGGACACAAGATGACTGGTGAGGTTTTTCGTTACCCACACGTTAATATCACTATTTTCACAGCATTTGGGAAGCTGAAGTTGGCTAGAAGGTTATAATATATATCCAAAGATTAGCCACAAATGTAGATAAAGGGATGGCTTCTTGAAAAATATGTACATTAAAATCCATATAGGATGCACGCATAGAAAGCCATTGATGGTCCATTAGCTTTAATGTCATGCAATAGATAAGATTGAAAGCTGATTCATTTTCTGTCAAATGAAAAGAAAAAAACTTGATTACATGGAACAAAATACATGAAACGGCACATTCAAGCTGAAAACAAAGACACAGAGGAAGCAAGCACGTATAATTAATTTGCAATTAATCATGCAAACTAGCAATCGACCAATCAACAACAACAAAGCCTTTTCCCACTAAGTGGGGTCGGCTATATGAATCCTAGAATGCCATTGCGCTCGGTTTTGTGTCATGTCCTCTGTTAGATCCAAGTACTCAAGTCTTTTCTTAGGGTCTCTTCCAAAGTTTTCCTAGGTCTTCCTCTACCCCTTCGGCCCTGAACCTCTATCCCGTAGTAACATTTTCGAACCGGAGCGTCAGTAGGCCTTCTTTGCACATGTCCAAACCACCGAAACCGATTTGCTCTCATATTTCCTTCAATTTTGGCTACTCCTACTTTACCTCGGATATCCTCATTCCCAATCTTATCATTTCTCGTGTGCCCATACATCCCACGAAGCATCCTCATCTCCGCTACACCCATTTTGTGTACGTGTTGATGCTTCACCGCCCAACATTCTGTGCCATACAACATCGCTGGCCTTATTGCCGTCCTATAAAATTTTCCCTTGAGCTTCAGTGGCCTACGACGGTCACACAACACGCCGGATGCACTCTTACACTTCATCCATCCAGCTTGTATTCTATGGTTGAGATCTCCATCTAATTCTCCGTTCTCTTGCAAGATAGATCCTAGGTAGCGAAAACGGTCACTTTTTGTGATCTTCGCTAGATTGCTCCGGTCATTAGTGTGGATAAGTATATAAATGGATAGAGATAGGAAAGCAAACACAAGATGTACGTGGTTCACCCAGATTGGCTACGTCCACGGAATAGAGGAGTTCTCATTAATTGTGAAGGGTTTACACAAGTACATAGGTTCAAGCTCTCCTTTAGTGAGTACAAGTGAATGATTTAGTACAAATGACATTAGGAAATATTGTGGGAGAATGATCTCGTAACCACGAAACTTCTAAGTACCGGAGTGTGGTATCGTCTTGACTTGCCTTATCTGTCTCATAGGTAGATGTGGCATCTTCTCTGGAAGTACTCTTCCTCCATCCAGGGGTGGTATCTGTAACTGGTGGAGATGCACAAGGTAATGTATCAATTTCACTTGAAGTTTACTTGTAGTTTCAGGCTTGGTCAAGCGCGATACAAACCATGTAGTAGGAGTCCCCCAAGTCGCCGAGCTAGGGGATCTGCTGAAAGAGGTGACAGACAAGGTAAGCAATCAGAGCTCCGACTGTTTGTTCACATTCTCCCTATCTTGCAGGCAGCATGAAGGATAAAGAGAAGAAAAATGAGAAAAGATGATATGGGATACTTTTGCTTTTGAAGAAGTAACTTTTCACAGACTTATTCTTGAACTGGGCTGGAGGGTTTTCTGGTTTCCTCCAGAGTATAAGGCCGACTGAAGAATTTGAGGGTCAAAACAAGTCCATCAAATCTAGAGTACGTTTGACCCTGCTGATATGGGATACTTTTGCTTTTGACAGAGTAGTGGATGTATTGGCACGTGTGCTGTTACGCTTGTCTCCACATGCTTCCTTGTATCCTTCTCACTTGCCCTATCTGTTCCTCAGGCAGATGCGGTATCTTCCCTGGAAGCATAAGATATTGAAGATGAGTACTCAAGAGCAATGCCAGGTAAGTAATCAGGTAAGGGGTTCCAGGCAGTCAGTTCCTGGCTGAAAGCTTGATTCCAAGTGCTGACTGATTGCTTTCTTTCTCCTTGTCTTACAGGTAAGAACAAGGTCAAAGGAAAAGACAGGGAAAAAGCATGATATGGGATACTCTTGCTTTTAACCCTGATGATATGAGATATTCTTGCTCTAGTATAGCTTGTTTACAGAGGTATTATCGGGGGGAAAGAAAGTTGAATATTTCGAAAGGATTCGTTGGGAGTGCCCTCTCAGATAAGAGGAAGGGTTGAGCATTTTTGCAGGTCTGCCTGTTCGTTGGGGATGGAGGTCGACATATATAGGAGTTTCTCTAACATCAAGTAATAATGTTATTCCTTTACCCTGCTTGGTCATAGCACGGTAGTGGGAGATGCCAGCTTCACATGTTTTAACTCTGTCAGAGCACTTTGAAAAAGTGGTATGTGGTATCTGGAAAGCTGATGTTGCGTGTGAAGATTACAGACAAGCTTTATCCAAGGAGATCCAGCTCTTGAAGTTGGGAAAGTGGTGCCTCTTCGGTTTTCGAACAAGCAATCCTGTCAGGGATCTGGCTCTCGAGATTCGGAGAACGATGCCTCTTCGATTTTTGAGAAAGCAATCCTGCTGGGGTCTGGCTCTCGAGATTCGGAGAGCGGTGTCTCTTCGATTTTTGAGAAAGTAATCATGTTGGGAGTCTGGCTCTCGAGATTCGGAGGGCGGTGCCTCTTTGATTTTGGAGCAAGCAATCTTGTTGGGAGTGTTTTCTCGAATGTGAGTAAAGGTTGGGCATGTTTGCTAGTCTACCTTGCCATGAAGCACAGAGGTTGACACACAGAGACTTTCCAATTATCCAGCAGTGGTACTGTTCCTTTACCCTCTCTTCGATTTTTGAGAAAGTAATCATGTTGGGAGTCTGGCTCTCGAGATTCGGAGGGCGGTGTGCCTCTTCGATTTTGGAGCAAGCAATCTTGTTGGGAGTGTTTTCTCGAATGTGAGTAAAGGTTGGGCATGTTTGCTAGTCTACCTTGCCACGAAGCACAGAGGTTGACACACAGGGACTTTCCAATTATCCAACAGTGGTACTGTTCCTTTACCCTCTCTTCGATTTTTGAGAAAGTAATCATGTTGGGAGTCTGGCTCTCGAGATTCGGAGGGCGATGCCTCTTCGATTTTGGAGCAAGCAATCTTGTTGGGAGTGTTTTCTCGAATGTGAGTAAAGGTTGGGCATGTTTGCTAGTCTACCTTGCCACGAAGCACAGAGGTTGACACACCGGGACTTTCCAATTATCCAGCAGTGGTACTGTTCCTTTACCCTTGTGGGTAATAATATGGTAGCTAAACCTTCAAAATTTATGTGTCTAAACTTTGTTAGTGTTGTTTCTTTGCTATTCTTTTACCCTTCTTGGTCAAAGCGATGTAGTGGGAGCTGCAAGCTTCACGTGTCTCAACTTTGTCAGAGAACTTTGGCAAAGTTATTTGGGGTACCCATGAGCTACTGTTGCGTGTGGGAAGTGGGTGATTGAACAGTACGATTCATGTGCTTTCTACTTCGCCAGAAATCTTCGACAGAATGCCCATAATTTCCGCAAAGCTGAGTGTGCGTGTGACAGGTGCTGACAAGGCTGGAAAAGTAGGTGCCTCTTCGATTTCTGAGATCGGCCCTCGTGGTCTCTGAGCAGCCCAGCTTTTGAGAAAGCAAGCCTCTTCGAATTTTGAGATCGGCCTTCGTGGTCTTTGAGCAGCCCAGCTTTTGAGAAAGCAAACGCCTATTCGATTTCTGAGATCGACCCTCGTGGTCTCTGAGCAGCCCAGCTTTTAAGAAAACAAACTCCTCTTCGATTTCTGAGCAGGCGCCTCTTCGATTTCTGAAGCTTCGTCGAGTGCAGATTTTTATAGGGGCTGACATTAAGTTTCAAAGCACACTTGAATATCCACCAGTAGAAGCTCCATTCTTGCACTTCTAAGATCTTGATTTGTCCAACCTCTTCTCTCTTCAACACCTTTGAAAATGTCTGGCCCCTCCGACCGTCGTTTTGACTTGAACCTTGTTGAAGAGGCAGCCCCGCCTTCTCCAGACAACATATGGCGCCCATCCTTCGTCTCCCCTACTGGTCCTCTTACCGTTGGGGATTCCGTGATAAAGAATGATATGACCGCTGCGGTAGTGGCCAGGAACCTTCTCACTCCCAAAGATAACAGACTACTTTCCAAACGGTCTGATGAGTTGGCTGTTAAGGATTTTCTGGCTCTCAGTGTTCAGTGTGCAGGTTCTGTGTCTAATATGGCCCAACGCCTATTTGCTCGAACCCGCCAAGTTGAATCATTGGCGGCTGAAGTGATGAGTCTCAAACAGGAGATTAGAGGGCTCAAGCATGAGAATAAACAGTTGCACCGGCTCGCACATGACTATGCTACAAACATGAAGAGGAAGCTTGACCAGATGAAGGAATCTGATGGTCAGGTTTTACTTGATCATCAGAGATTTGTGGGTTTGTTCCAAAGGCATTTATTGCCTTCGTCTTCTGAGGCTGTACCGCGTAATGAAGCTCCAAATGATCAACCTCTGATGCCTCCTCCTTCTAGGGTTCTGTCCAGTACTGAGGCTCCGAATGATCCCCCTCCGGTGCCTTCTCTTTCTGGGGCTCTACCGACTGCTGAGACTTCTCCTAAGCAACCTTTGTGAATGCTCCCTCTTGTTTGTTTATTTGACTCAAGTATATGTACATATTTGTAACTTATCGGGGATATCAATAAATAAGCTTTCCTTCATTTCAATGTATTGTATTAAATACACCAAAGCCTTCTTCGCTAAGTTCTTTGAATTTTCTTTTGTTGAAGCTTGTATGTTGAAGCTTTGTAAGTGGAGCATGTAGGTTGAGGTAGTGTTCCCTTAATTTCCTGAGTGAGGAAAACTTCTCGGTTGGAGACTTGGAAAATCCAAGTCACTGAGTGGGATCGGCTATATGAATCTTAGAACGCCATTGTGTTCTGTGTGTCATGTCCTCCGTTAGATCCAAGTACTCTAAGTCTTTTCTTAGGGTCTCTTCCAAAGTTTTCCTAGGTCTTCCTCTACCCCTTCGGTCCTGAACCTCTGTCCCATAGTCGCATCTTCTAATCGGAGCGTCAGTAGGCCTTCTTTGCACATGTCCAAACCACCGTAACCGATTTTCTCTCATCTTTCCTTCAATTTCGGCTACTCCTACTTTACCCCGGATATCCTCATTCCTAATCTTATCCTTTCTCGTGTGCCCACACATCCAACGAAGCATCCTCATCTCCGCTACACCCATTTTGTGTACGTGTTGATGCTTCACCGCCCAACATTCTGTGCCATACAGCATCGCCGGCCTTATTGCCGTCCTATAAAATTTTCCCTTGAGCTTCAGTGGCATACGGCGGTCACACAACACGCCGGATGCACTCTTCCACTTCATCCATCCAGCTTGTATTCTATGGTTGAGATCTCCATCTAATTCTCCGTTCTTTTGCAAGATAGATCCTAGGTAACGAAAACGAAAACGGTCGCTCTTTGGTATTTCTTGATCTCCGATCCTCACCCCTAACTCGTTTTGGCCTCCATTTGCACTGAACTTGCACTCCATATATTCTGTCTTTGATCGGCTTAGGCGAAGACCTTTAGATTCCAACACTTCTCTCCAAAGGTTAAGCTTTGCATTTACCCCTTCCTGAGTTTCATCTATCAACACTATATCGTCTGCGAAAAGCATACACCAAGGAATATCATCTTGAATATGTCCTGTTAACTCATCCATTACCAACGCAAAAAGGTAAGGACTTAAGGATGAGCCTTGATGTAATCCTACAGTTATGGGAAAGCTTTCGGTTTGTCCTTCATGAGTTCTTACGGCAGTCTTTGCTCCTTCATACATATCCTGTATAGCTTGGATATATACTACTCGTACTCCTTTCTTCTCTAAAATCCTCCAAAGAATGTCTCTTGGGACCCTATCATACGCTTTTTCCAAATATATAAAGACCATGTGTAAATCCTTTTTCCCATCTCTATATCTTTCCATCAATCTTCGTAAGAGATAGATTGCCTCCATGGTTGAGCGCCTGGCATGAACCCGAATTGGTTGTCCGAAACCCGTGTCTCTTGCCTCAATCTATGCTCAATGACTCTCTCCCAGAGCTTCATTGTATGACTCATTAGCTTAATACCCCTATAGTTCATGCAATTTTGTACATCGCCCTTATTCTTGTAGATAGGCACCAAAGTGCTCGTTCGCCACTCATTTGGCATCTTCTTCGTTTTCAAAATCCTATTGAAAAGGTCAGTGAGTCATGTTATACCCGTCTCTCCCAAAACTTTCCACACTTCGATTGGTATATCATCTGGGCCTACTGCTTTTCTATGCTTCATCTTCTTCAAAGCTACAACCACTTTTTCCTTCCGGATTCTACGATAAAAAGAATAGTTTCTACACTCTTCTGAATTACTCAACTCCCCTAAAGAAGCACTCCTTTCATGTCCTTCATTGAAAAGATTATGAAAATAACCTTTCCATCTGTCTTTAACCGCGTTCTCTGTAGCAAGAACCTTTCCATCCTCATCCTTGATGCACCTCACTTGGTTTAGGTCCCTTGTCTTCTTTTCCCTTACTCTAGCTAGTTTATAGATATCCAACTCTCCTTCTTTGGTATCTAGTCGCTTATACATATCGTCATAAGCCGCTAACTTAGCTTCTCTCACAGCTTTCTTCGCCTCTTGCTTCGCTTTTCTATACCTTTCACCATTTTCATCGGTCCTATCCTTGTATAAGGCTTTACAACATTCCTTCTTAGCCTTCACCTTTGTTGTGTACCTCCTCATTCCACCACCAAGATTCCTTTTGGTGTGGGGCAAAGCCCTTGGACTCTCCTAATACCTCTTTTGCTACTTTTCGGATACAACTAGCCATGGAATCCCACATTTGGTTAGCTTCCCCCTCTCTATCCCACACACACTGGGTGATTACTTTCTCTTTTGAAAATTGCTTGTTTTTCTTCTTTTAGATTCCACCATCTAGTCCTTGGGCACTTCCAAGTCTTGTTCTTTTTTCTCACTCTTTTGATATGTACATCCATCACCAACAAGCGATGTTGATTTGCCACGCTCTCTCCTAGTATAACTTTGCAATCCTTACAAGTTATACGATCCCCTTTCCTCATTAGAAGAAAATCTATTTGTGTTTTTGACGACCCACTCTTGTAGGTGATCACATGTTCTTCTCTCTTCTTCTTAAAGAAGGTGTTGGCTAAGAAGAGATCATATGCCATTGCAAAATCCAAGATAGCTTCCCCATCCTCGTTTCTCTCCCCAAAACCATGGCCACCATGAAAACCTCCATAGTTGCCTGTTCTCCCTGCCCACGTGTCCATTTAAATCTCCTCCTATAAATAACTTCTCCATCTGAGCAATTCCTTGCACCAAGTCTCCAAGGTCTTCCCAAAATTTCTCTTTCGAACTCATATCCAACCCTACTTGAGGTGCGTACGCACTAATCACATTGATAAGTTCTTGTCCTATTACAATCTTGATTGCCATGATTCTATCTCCTACCCTCTTGACATCTACAACATCTTGTGTCAAGGTCTTGTCCACGATGATGCCAACACCGTTTCTCGTTCTATTTGTGCCCGAATACCATAGTTTAAACCCTGAGTTTTCTAGATCCTTTGCCTTACGACCAACCCACTTAGTTTCTTGTAGGCACATAATATTTATCATTCTCCTCACCATAACTTCTACTACTTCCATAGATTTTCCCGTCAAGGTTCCTATATTCCACGTTCCTAAACGCATTTTGCTCTCTTGAACTCTACCCTTCTGTCCTAGCTTCTTCACCCTTCCCCGTCTAATAGGATCAAAGTACTTCTTTTGTGTGTCCCGTGTAAAGTTGATAGGAGCATATGCTCCCAAACAACTTTGAGTGGAGTCGTTCGAAAAGAAGTTTCTATAGCCCCCTTGCTCATTTAACACTGCATCCGGGTGCCGATGGAGATACAGCGACCCTTGCTCACTTATCACTGTGCTTGGGCCACACAACGCGCCACTTACGGGTGACGCCCTAACTTTAGCGCGATTCCGTTCTGGATTCATTTTCATAAGGATTCGACGTAATCATGGAGTGCCGGCTGTCGACTACCTGACGCCCTCCCCCTCCTCCTTTATCCGGGCTTGGGACCGGCGATGTAAGATAAACTTACACGGCGGAGTTCAAACTAGCAATCGACCAATCAAGATTAAGAATTTAACAAAGGGTGAGCGTCTATCCATCATTAATCTAGTTAAAATCCTCCACAGAAAACAAGACCCAACACATGAACATGTATGTAAGCACTCGACTTCGAATGGTGATTATATTAAGGAAAAGATCTGGACCTTCCACTTTTGTCCTTATGGCTATGTTTTTATTATGCAGTAGGAAAAACCAAGATGGATATTCATCCAAGACAAAGGAAGAGCAACAAAAAAATAAAGACAGTTAAACTTGGAGTTTCCATCAAAAGCCAAAGGAAACTGCACAAATCTGAACGGCCCCTAGCTAGTTCCTTACCAGGAAATCTAACCCGTTTGCATGCCACTTAATTCCTCCAAATTACAAAAGCATGTAAAAACATATAATATTGCATATATGAAGATGTAGTTGCAAGTTATACAGCTTTAATTTTGTACTAATATGATCATATATATAATTAAATATTTATTTTTTTCTTTGAATTTTCTACAGACGACAGGCCAAAATGGGGGAGGTGAGTTGTGCATAATTCCTAATCAAATATGATCGTAGAAACCCTTTAGTACAAAAAGGGCCAAGCCATGCACCCAGGACACAGTGAACATGGAAATCCATATACCATTTGACAATACCAAATCAAGCAATCTCTAAAGATCAGAAATGGATCCTAAATCAGAAACCTGATCTCATATGCATTAAAATGATTAACAAATTTTCAGTGAATCATCACAAAATGGGTATAGAAAAGCAACCCAATTTCTTAATTTCAAAAAGGGAAAGATTAAAAAAAGGTTCTGATTTCTCACCACAACCAAAATAATCACATTGTTACAATTTGAACTTCGGTCGATTTCCCTCATCGGCATAAACAAAAACAGTAACTTCAGTCTATGCATGCAAACCAAACTCATCAATCAATTCCTAAAATCAACTGCAAATCACAAAATTATTGTTCAGGCCTCTTAGGGTTCAAATGTAAGCTAAGAAAAATTTCTAACAAAACCAACTCATACCTCTTCATACAACAGTTTGTCGCCATCATCACTTAGTTCTTCATCACTGCCGACTTCAGCCTTTTCATCAGCCTCTTCGTCACTTCCATACACTGAATTGTTCTCCATCATCCTAATTACTCACACCTTATAAACCCTAATTTAGTGATATATGCCATTAATTTCCTTTACACCCAGAAATTCAATTCACGATAAAGAAATTAAATCACAAGCCATGAATCTACTTATTGAACTGCTTCAAGAAGAAAATCCTAATAATAAATTAAAAGAATAAACGAGGGAAACAAATAAATACCTACCGTGCGAGAACAACCGAATAACTATTTTCCCCAATCTGCATCGTATTAGGTCAGCTGTACACATAATGTTGGGCGGTGAAACATCAACACGTAAATAAAATGGGTGTAACGGAGATGATGATGCTTCGTAGCGGAGATAATGATGCTTCGTAGCGGAGATAATGATGCTTGAATTGTTCTCCATCATCCTAATTACTCACACCTTATAAACCCTAATTTAGTGATATATGCCATTAATTTCCTTTACACCCAGAAATTCAATTCACGATAAAGAAATTAAATCACAAGCCATGAATCTACTTATTGAACTGCTTCAAGAAGAAAATCCTAATAATAAATTAAAAGAATAAACGAGGGAAACAAATAAATACCTACCGTGCGAGAACAACCGAATAACTATTTTCCCCAATCTGCATCGTATTAGGTCAGCTGTACACATAATGTTGGGCGGTGAAACATCAACACGTAAATAAAATGGGTGTAACGGAGATGATGATGCTTCGTAGCGGAGATAATGATGCTTCGTAGGATGTGTGGGCACACGACAAAGAATAAGATTGGGAATGAGGATATCCGAGTTAAAGCAGGAGTAGCCGAAATTGAAGGAAAGATGAAAGAAAATCGGTTACGGTGGTTTGGACATGTGCAAAGAAGGCCTACTGACGTTCCGGTTCGAAGATGTAACTATGGAACAGAGGTTCAAGACCGAAGAGGTAGAGGAAGACCTAAGAAAACTTTGGAAGAGACTTTAAGAAAAGACTTAGACTACTTAGATTTAATGGAGAACATGACACAAAACCGAGCGCAATGGCGTCCTAGGATTCATGTAGCCGACCTCACTTACTGAGAAAATGCTTTGTTGTTGCATCGTGTTAGGTCAGAGATGAGAGAATGAGCGAGCGGCCGAGGGTGTGAGAATGGGCGACATAGGGAGACGAAGGAGAGTTGGTCGTTACCATCGCTGGCAACCACCAAGAGCCGGTCGTCAAAATCGTGGGAGAGCTGAACGGGATGTGGGCTGGGAGCGACGAGATGGGGTGAGAGCAGAACAAATGACTTTTACAATTTGGGGGTTTCTGATAAATACATTTTATTTTCTTTCCTGCCTTTGTAGAATAGGTGAGGCATTTCCTGCCGTCACTTGTTTGTACGTGGCCTTAGCTTATATTATGCGAAGAATACTATATTTTCGTCACTTAATTGAAATATATTGGGTGGTAAGTTTTTTCGCACAATAGTTCGTGAGGAATTAAAAAGTTTATGTGACGAACAGAATTAGGAAAAAAATTTGTATCCCACCCAAAACTTTATGTGACGCTTTCTTAAAATTTGTCACTTATTTTAACAAAATGTGATGAATTTCTCTGCATCACAAAGAATTCCGTCACCTAAGCCCTGTTTTCTTGTAGTGGTACTATTGGTTGCAACCCTAGTTTGAGATATGCTTCTCCGGTGGGAACTCGTTGTTTTAGATGAGGTGAACCACCCCATTCTTGTCCAGAACATAATTTTGTCCCCCATGCAATGTTCCCGACACATCCGAATACCCTCGTCGTGTACAAACATTTAAAATCGTAATCAACTTCTAGCATGGTTTGCAGTGGTATGCATTCAAAGCCTAGTGCAAGATTACCATAAAACATTCTCAAGCTATTGAAGGGTTTATTGTGTTTGAATCATAGGCATGAGTTATGGAAAGAGGGTAGACAAGGTGATCAGTAAGCAAAACATGCCAGCCTCACAAAGCTCTGAGGTGTATCCATGTAGGAGTTTTGTGTGTTCAAGAAGCTCCGGTGATCGGGCTTTAATTTCTAACAATATTAAGTTTATTGGCATCCGTGTTCTTCATTTTTGTAATCTCGTTCGTTAATACAAATATCAATTGAAATTCCCACAGTGACATACAAATAGCATCTCACTTGATTTTCATTGCTACCAAATATCACAGTAGTTTGCTTAGCAGGGCATAATTGCCCTTTTACTGGGAAAGTTACAAACATTATTTAGAACCAGCTTTGATCATACAAAAACTACTACTTGCTAACCCTGTTTTGTGGAGATATAACGGACATGAACATAGGAATGAAAAAACAGGCAGCTAAAAAGGAGAGAGCTTTAGAGGCTTTGAAGTAGTTTGAGAGTTTCGTCGATATGCTTCTCGGGCTGGAACTGGTTGTTGTAGATGAGTTGAACCACCCCATTCTTGTCCAGAACATATGTCTGTCTCCCTGGCAACGCCCCAAACAGATCCGACGGCACTCCCCATTCTTTCCTCACCTTGTTACCCTCATCGCTGAGTAATGTGAACGGAAGTCTGTTCTTCTTTGCAAACTCCTACAAACATTTGCAATCGTAATCAACTTCGAGCATGGATTTGTAGTGGTTATGCATACAAAGCATACAAAACAAGTGTTGAATAAACTACTAGAGAGAACGAACATTCGCGATTTATAATTCTTAGCTCACGTATTAGCAGCTTAAGTTTTTTATTACATTGAAAAACCAACAAATTTATCCTTACATCTGTTGAAGAATCAATGAGCTTTGGCCTTGTGCATAATTACCAAACTAAGCCTCAATGCAATGACACTACATGATCTAAACACACAAAGCTTTCACAGTACCTTGTGCGATGATGGGTCATCACCGCTAATCCCTACAACCTCGGCGCCGGCCTTCTTAAACTGCTCGTAAGAATCTCTGAAAGCACAAGCCTAAGGAAGTATCAATTTGTCAGTGTCTGTACTAACTAAAGGCACAATGTTTATCCGCAATGCAAATTCCATATCATTAACCGAAAATTTACCGATACATAGCAGAAGAGAAAATTATTGGACAAAACTAATCCAGGATAAGCATATCAAGCATAAAAAAATTCAAATTAATTGGATTTAGAACATGCAAAACAATGTGATTAGTTTTAAACCTGTTTGGTGCAGCTAGGGCTCTCATCAGCAGGGTAGAAATAGAGAACCACAGGCTTTCCCTTAAATTTGGAGAAGCTCACAGTTTTTCCATCCTGATCTTTCAACGTGAAGGCTGGTGGAACCGTACCCTTGTCCACCTGTCCACAAACAGACCAACCATGACTAATCAATAAAACAAATTAGCCGCCGTAAGAGACTTGTAGCTCAAATGATTAAGAGTGTTTATCCCTGCACTCGATCATAAGAAACACAACATATATAAGCAAAATGAACCTTAGCAGAAATGAACATCTTGCCAGAGGAAGATGAAGGGATTGGCAGAGTGGAAGAAGTGGAGAACCTGAGGCCATAGAATTTAGAATGTGAAGAGCCGGAGGCAATTGGGAGGGTTTGGGAAGATGGGTAGCCTTTGGGAGTTTGGGTGGGGAGTAGAGAGGGGAAGGCTGGCTGCTTGGGAACAGAGAGAGAGGCCATTGGATTGGATTAGACTGGACAAAATTAATCAGAGAGAAATATAAAGTTGTCTCCTAGGTTTCTCTGTTTTTTGTTGGGTTTTATCACAATTGGTGTAGGAAGATAAGGGAGGGAGCGTGTTGGGTTTTGGGGAGAAGATGGGGATATATTGGCTTTCGTGGACGATTGCTGACCCCAACCTTTGAACGCGTCAAATTTGTCGAGTTCAACCGACAAAGTTTGTAATTTAAATTTCAAGCTGATTACAATATATGTATTTACTTAATTTCATCAAGTTAATGCAAGTATCTAGCACGCATCAACTTGTCATTATATGTGTTTAGTTGTTGAGTTGATGCATAATTTAGTATTAGTTTGCTTTAATTTTTTTTTCAAGAAATTTTGGTCACTGTGAAAAATAAAAGGCTTAGTTTTAGCAACACTTCCTGAAATTCTATTTTGATCTTACTTTGCCCTGTAACTAAAAAATCATTATTTTACTCTTTAAAACTCAAATTCGTTCTACTTTGATTTGTGAACTCTCACTTCTCTCTTAAACTTATAGGTTGTCTCCTGAAACATATGTGAGACCCAACACCCAATAAAACTCTGCAACTAGAGAATATTAAATTTAAAAGAGATTGAAGAGATGAAAAAATAAAAATGAAATTTATTAGTGTTGCTCCCAAAACAAACCCACATACAAAATTAACACATCTAAGACAACATGGAATGGATTCTGAGTTTTATAGAAACGACTTTCAAGTTTTAGAGAGCAAAATAAGATCAAAATCGAGTTCTAGGGGCAAAGTAGAGCGAATTATAAGTTTCAAATAGTAAAATGATGACTTTTAAGTTACATGGAGTAAAATGAAATTATAATCGAGTTTCAAATGGCGTAATTAAAAATAAGCCAAAATAGAATGGTATACATACATTTGTAAAGGGCTTTACCCCAAGTGATTTTTGTTCACCCAAGCCCAAGTTTCTGGCCCGAACTAGTTTTGAGTGTAGTTTTATTTTGGGCCTTGAGCCCCGGTTATACCAATACAGAGGAAAAAAAAATCAAACACAAATATGCTGCGAAAATTTGGAGGGAGAAGAATACTCCACAGTAATAAACCCTAAACCCCTAAATTCTCAGTACTAATCCCCTTACGTGTGGAATCCCTAATTGGGTTTCTGAATTGTGAACAGGATAAGGCGTTCTGGGCTGGGTTCTTTGCGTTTTCTCTCGAAGCATTAGAATTATGGAGGGTTTGCAGAAGTTGATTGGGAAAATCCCGAAAGACCCCCCAAAATTGGGCTCCGCTTCGGCTTCCTTCGACCCTAACCGTGGGACTGAAGGTCTCGCCGCCGCTCTGTCTTCCTCCGATCAGTCTCGTATTTTGCTCAACAGACCCGCCAGGTACCTGTCTCTCTCTTTCTCTCCTTGTTTTTTACTTTATTTGTTCAGTTCTTTGAAGTTTCAGAAAATTTTATGGATTCTGTGAATTGGGTTGCGTTTGGTTTGTAATGGGAGGCTTGGATTTGCGAGTTGTCTTTGAAATACCAAATTGTTGGATTTTTTGTTCAGTGATTTCCCCAATCATGGTTTAGGGTTCTGAAGGCTTGGATTTGTGGGGTTTTGCTTTCAATGATTTCCCGAAAGCGGGTTTCACTTGGTTTTAAAAGAGTTGAGGTTGATGCATTAATCAGCCATGAATTTATTTCTATGTATGCTTGTTGAATGTCAGCACTCTGAGTGTAAACACTGGATATTGCTGCCGTTGTCTTCTTCTTTTTACGGCAATTTTTTCAATGTTTACTTGCAGGCAATTGGTGTCACTGTGGACGTGCTCGAAGCTTTGTACAATTTGCTTTGTTGCTGGAATTGTTGTTGGTTATAAGCTGAAGCGACGCGTCCGAAGTTGGACTTCCAAACTTCTCAAGAAGATCAGAGATGATTGATTGCAACTGGATCTCTTTATATGAATCCATCTAATGTGTTGCTCTCCATAGAAGAATGATTCTCCACCAATAGTTGTTTGCTCTAGAGGGTGCAATTTTGATTTGCTTCCCGAGGTTATACTAACCCTGCATCTGACCTGATTAACAGATATTGTTAGCCTTCGGCTTTCTATTATGTTAATGATAAATTTTACGAGTTAACTATGAGCATGACTCTGTTCCTGTAGTTTTGAATTGTTGCATTTGCCGATTTAGCTTCGCTCGCATACTTGCATGATCTATGAGATTTAAGTCGGATGAATTCTGAATACATCAAGTCAGAAAGGTATCCCTTTTGCTTATCCCTTTCTTCTTGTTTTTCCATCAAATTGCAATACATCGGGTACATATTTGCTAGAATTTTGTTTCGTATTGTTGTAAACTAGCTGGGCATTATATATGATAAACAATTACGTCTACATCTTTCTATGCTACTATCCTTGTACATTTATGATTATCTTTCTCTATGGATACTCCAAATGATTAGAAATGAATCGCTGCTTGGTATTTTGATGATGGTGGTCTTCTAGTTTTAGAAATACTCCTTGTGGAATTCAAACCGTGTCGTTGTCTTCTGGCTGAGTTCATGTGATAGCACCTTCAGCTCCTTTGCCAACATTGGCATCCCACAGTAGAATACCCCTGCAAATTAACTGATTCGTTAAATCTCTCAGTTTTT